ATAACATAACATCACGCCTTTTATCCCCGAAGTGGTAGGCAGAAGTGCACATTACGGCACTTAATGCCACTGTACAATGTAACACCCACTTTCCACTATTTACGTTACGAGTCGCAAGTAATAGCCGGTGAGCCTATTGCCATATACCGGGCACATTTCCAGACTCCGTGCTACTATTGAGATTTTTTTTAAAAACCCAATAATACTTTGCCCAACCCGGGAATCGAACCCGAGACCCCTTGCCCGACAGTCGCACTTGCAACCACTTGGCCAATGAGGCAGTCTGTTCTTAATTATTCATCAATGTGTATTTAGTTGGCTATGTATGTATTTGTCGCATAACTAGCAAATGAACACAAAAACCTTTCTGTGGATAATCTCAATACGTAGTTTTTCGTACTAAAGCTATTACTCAGGCTTATGTTACAAACGAGGTCGTTGCTCCTCCCAAGAGTTCCATAGAGGAAGCACTAGCTTGACCGTAAATTATAACGTAATATCATATGTCGTTAATTCTAGTAGGGCACGGTACCTACTCGGTGGGTATAAACTAAATAAAGGAATTAAGTTAATTATATTAATGATTAATTACCGGTCAGGTGTGGCCGGCGGCCGGCGCACCGGCCGTGACGTTGGCCGCTCGTACAGTGTAAGGGCCAGCGCCGTCTGACCGTGAAGATATGCATCGCGGTACCTTGCCCCGACAGCATTGAGGAAAGAAAATGTAATAAAAAGTAACAACGTACCAACGTGCACTTGTGGGTCCATTAGCGACTGGTGTATACCAGTATACCAGTCTAGCGCGGTCCAATCGGCACAAACAAGAAACTGTGTACAGTTTCGTGGATTGTTTTTGTAATCGATGGAAGTAATATACAAGAGTCTCAGTAGCGGTCTTCGTTGTTCATAAGCTAACTCTGACTAGAGTTTTCGAGAAGCTCGTTAGTACTGTAGTTATGACTTAGATCACCAGCATTATTTACGTGCCTCCACTAAATTCTTAACCTTGAAACAAGTACCGAGAATGTTAATTAAGCTGACTGAAACACAAACAATGGTGTAATCATATTTATTGCCATACGTTGGTAAGTTAGTATCGACGGCGCGGCGCCTGCGCTGTACAGCCTCGCTGTTTAGATACACGCTCGTTGTCCTCTCGGCTGGAACTGTAATCTTGGTTCTTGATTAGAGCAGAAGGAGCACCGTCGGTGCGGTCTTTGCTTCGGAGAACTGAGTCGTAAACATGAACAAACTGACAACTGTACACGGTTATAACCTGGTTGCCAATAGGATAAACAAAGATTGATGCGAACCTATCAGTGTATCCGTGGACAACAAAGATTACGTTATTTAGGTAGACAATAATTAGAAGAACAAAGCGTCTTCGTACGTCCTTTCATAATTTCATTCTAGCTAAACTCGATAAAATCTCGCTCTGTGCTCTTGAAGGGCAAAGCTCCCTAAAGGAAAGTTAACGAAATAAAATTCCCATTATCTTAAGCACGGACTGTATTATCACAAGGGCCATTAGCGGGCGGAAGCGGCCCCCGTCCGGCACGCGAACATTCTCATTACCATTTAAGTACCATCGTTGACTGCTAGATTTGGGACGGCGTCACTATTTAGGACACTGTTGCCATACGTATCTATTGTAGGTCACACAAAACTTGTAACTACATAATATACGTACTGTATTTGAATAAATACCGTTACTTCATTGGCTTTTATGCACGTGTACATAGGTCCACACCGAGGTTCATTGGGTTTAAGACAAGGCTTTTATTTTGCTTACATTTTTGTTGCATGGTTAAATACTCTCAAGTTGTTGCATTAATGTATTCTGATAGGCTTGTCGTATCTCGTGTCGCTCGCACGTCTCGTAGCCTCCAGACTGTGCGGCTCACTTTTATCGCAAGGTCCCGATACTACGCTGGGACATGACCACGATAAATTATACACTGTGACATTAATATGTCTGAGCGAGTTGCTGCTTCAAATTCTTTCTCAGACCTATACGTATCGTAAGAGTACACTACCTATATTGGTATTAGATCGACATTTATTTAGGCTACAGCAAATTGCGTATTCCACGTCAGGACACACACTATTATTCATTATGGACTCCGAATAACTCGAATACATATGCACACCTAGTGATAGCTACCGTATTTGTAACTACTGGTTAGACTTAAAATGTTTCGGTTCTATTTGTGATCTGTGCCTTTACATTTGCACAGGTCTACACGAATGTAAGTAAGTATTGTTGCTGTAGCACTACGCTGTTCATTTTAAGCGCAACCATCTTAGTTTGATGGCTAAATAGGGTAGGTATTTAGCTTGCTCTACATGATATACATCAGCTTGGCTAGGAAAGAAGCAAATTTACAATTTATTCGCTTACAATAGTTCTAAGGAGAACCACAGTGAATAACATAGTCAGACAACAAAGACCCTGCCTGGATCGTAGTCTTGCGATGAACTACGATTAGTATAAGTTTTGGCAATATAGATCTCATTCCCAATACTGTCCTGTCTGTTATGATCCGGGCCGCTCATTCCTTTGCTGAAATGTAATGTAATTTCCTCAATTGACAATGGTTGCCGACGCGACGCGAGATAAGTCAGCGTATCTGCAATAATTTGGACTTAACCTAGCGGCTATCTGTCATTTGGAGGTTGTACTCATTCGGTATATGATGCTCCATGGAGAGTAGGTTTAAAACAACCCCTACTCGCGTTTTGGGCAGATGGTTACCTGGGCTGTGGGCGGTGCCTCCGTAAGAGCTGCACTAGTGATAAAACTTAAAGCTGCACGCCGCACAGACAGGTATTTGGTCCTAAAAGTTGGCCAAAAATATTTGGTACGCCTAATGGCTGTCAAATGATGTTTTATTTTAGTTTTAGCTTGGAAAAGGTAAAAAAAAGCGTATGTAACATATACAAGCATTTATTCTTCATTTTCGTCGTCTTCTTCAAAACTTAAATTTAAAACGTACGTAAAACACTTTCTAGTAACAAATTTAAAACATCAGCCGAATTAGTAACAGATTTTTTTTATTCTTCCTCTTCCTCATGCCCGTCCGGACAGGGTCGGAAGTTAAGAGGAGCCTGTTAGAAACATCTGCGTTGCAGGCTACCCGGGAAAATTTTCGGGCGTAGTTGAGCCGGAACATCCTAACGTGTTTGTTGCGGGCTTCTGCCGCTTCTTCGGACAGTTGTCCAATGGAAAGAATTGTTGCCCTTACCACTGAAGTCCCATGACGCAACACTTTATGCAGTGTCGGCGACATTGGGTAAAACTTATACAAAGAAACGTACAACTTTGCCGTTTCTTGGCAATAGCTTTCAAACATCTCGCAGTTTATTTTTAAACCACAGCACAATGTGTCCAAAATTACTTTTAATCTATAAATTACATTCAAGTCTATCCCTGTAATTGTCGCTGATACTTCGAAATTTTCAAAAAAACGTCTGTTAGTGTTTCCGTCATTGGTATTTCCAAAGTTGGCTTTTGGTATCCACCAACAGACCGAGTTCCTCCCGGAACTTATCTTGGATTTCTTTTTTTTATTTTCCACTGCTTGCTTTTCCTCGGCAGTAAGGCGAACGTTCCATTTTTTTACGGGTAATCTATAGGCTACATGTAAAATACTTTCAAAAAATCTTATCCGAGCATGCAACAAAGATAAGCCGAATTATATGTTTTCTTTTTTGCATGGTCTCTCCTTCTCTAAATCATTAAACTGTAATGACGTGGCGCCGCATATGTAGCACCTCATGGTTGATTGCATACTTTTCCATCAATCATGGTGAAAAGCTGTTGACTTCGCTTTTAGTGAGCGCTGTTATTTGCGATTTAATATAGTCAATCTCTTCATTTGTCACATCTGTAGTTTCTTTTATGAATCTTATTCTTATAGGCCAACAATACCGTGGTGAAGATGGAGTAGGATTTTGCCTCAGTATTTTTCTTTCCGGTCCGTAAATCAACTGAAACGGTACCATGGAACTTAGGAATATGTTTGCGTCCGAATCGGTTTCATTTTCAAATTTCATTTTATACTGCATCTGTTGAGATCCATCGCAGCTCCATTTACTTATTAATACTAATGATTGTTTTTCTGCTTCACTCAATTGTTCCACTGCCTCACCAAGATGTAAAATCAGTCGTTGTGCCGTGTGATCCATGAGATTTTGAACCTGTACTTCAGCGCACGTTTCAGTTACTCTGTGGATTTCAGGATAGCTAGATAGGTATTTGAACGTTCCATTATATTAAATAAATCATTTCGAGTCATGACTCTCATTCCAGAAGAGCCTATAACAAAAATACACCAAATATAAGTAAAAATTCAATTACTGAGTATCGAGCGTGTCTAGGGAAAAAAATCACCAAAAATAGAGGGGCACTTTGGGGCGGCTATTTCGTACTTAATTACATCCTAAAAGGTCTATTCTAAAGCTAATCATTACAATTTTGGCTTAGAAATGATGAGAAATATATTAAAACTCCCTTTGATCTTCCAAAATGTGTTTTTTAAAAGCAGTTTCTTGGGGCTTACTTCCCAAGGGTATAAATAAAGAACAGCTATAGATTACTTGTTAAAAGTAAGTGCCAAATAAAATACATACCTGGTTGTGTGCAATCCATAATGAAAACCAACGCAAAATCGTTCAGTCACAAGATAGCAAATATTTCAAAACAACGAAATCTGAGCGCATCGAACAGTCACACGAACACTTTTGGCGAACGGTAACTTCCGACTGAGCCCACGACGTACTGGAAGGGGCTAGCGCTTTGTGTTTTTTGCTATTATTTGGAGCAGTTATCCTTATTTTTGGAAACAATGGCTTAGAGGGAGTAGAACTAATATAAAAAAAATCAATTTTGGCCAGCTTTTAGGGCCAAATACCTGTCTGTGCGCCGCTTAGGAAAACGTCCGGTTGTATAATTAGTTGTACAATTTATTGTTATTGATAGTTGTTGTTTGTGTTGTCCACAGAGAAGAAGTGCGGAACCACGCGGTGCGGTGGAACGCGCAGTTCTCATTCGTGTGCAAGATGTGCGCTAACGCCAGCACCGGCGTGCTGGAGCCCGCGCTCATGAGGGTCTCCGTACGCAAGGAGTGCAAAGGTAAATTCATCATCATATCAGTCACAAACCGTCCACTGCTGCACAAAGGCCTCCCTCGAGATTCACTGAAACCGAAAGATTGTCTAAAGTATAAACTCTTTCGCAAAGGTCAACTTCCTTTTGATTCTTACAGTGATTGGAAAGGAGCCTGGAACAGATTTTTTGTTTTATCTTGTTCTGAAGGCAATCGATATTAAATTCCATAGTACTTAGCTATTTAGTCCATGAGATATCCCAGCTCAACAATATCCCTCAATCTAACGTAACATCAGGGTTTCATACTGAAGCGACGCAACTGTTGACGAATTGTGGAAATAATTCCGCCGACTCTCAAACTCTTTGTACCCATATAAATATTTTTATGTAAACTTTGCCTTTGAAACACTCGACATTCAAGGAGAGCACGCATTGTTTGGTTCCATCTACTCGGGGTACTAACTACTAACTGAAACTGGGTAGTACAAGTTCAGTCAAAGTCATTACTTTGACTGAACTTGTAATATTTGATTCATTAATTTGATAAATTCAAATATTACTTTATACTAACGTTTCAATGTATGCGCAGTCGCTACTCGCGCCACTCGCCGCAGGCTGACTGACTTTAATTCCTTGAAGTTTCAATCTGAAATGGATTTTCAAATACCTTAAAAGGTAGCAGCTAGTAGCTAGCTGCAAATGTATCTTATACTATTACATAGAGCTGAAGAGTTTGTTTGTTTGAACGCGGAAATCTCAGGAACTACTGGTTCGATTTGAAATAATGTTTTTGTGTTGTGTAGTCCATTTATAGAGGAAGGCTATAAAACATCCCGCTGCGATCAATAGGTGGCGAGCAGAGCGGTTAGCAGCTAGTAACGTAATATATTGCGGTAGTTTACGCAGTATGTCGTGTTCCAGGCGGTAGGTCATACCAGAAGCTGGGCTTCTGCGACGTGAACCTGGCCGAGCTGGCGGGCGCGGGCGAGACGACGCGCCGCTGTCTGCTGGAGGGGTACGACCCGCGCCGGCGGCAGGACAATTCGGTGCTGCGCGTGCGCATCAAGATGAACATGATCTCCGGCGACCCTCTCTTCAAAGTGTACGTTACATACTAATTAATGTACAAATCTACTTATTGTTATTGTGATTTTTACGACACTCTGATTTGATTTGTACTGAATATGCTACGGTATACATTCCAGTCCAGAGCGCAAGCAGGAGGCCACGGACGGCATGGCGGGCGGCGACAGTGGCTCGGAGAGTGTCCCGGGCGGCACGCAACCTGACGACGACTGCGCCTCGTCCACCGCCTCCTCGGGCTTCGGCTCACTCACCAAAAAGAAGAATTACGGTATGTCTACCAACCCACACTGGCGTCGTATTGACTTGCAAAACTACTGAACTTGTAATTTTACCGTTGCGTCTGGCTTTGTCTGTACTAACTGGAGTTGCTGCGCGCCTATTTCAGAGGGTAGCATACCCCAACCTCTGTCCTTGTTGCCTTCCTGCGAGCTGCCCACCCCCGACGGGGAAGACTCGCCACTGGCCACCTCCGCGCCCGACCACCCCGGTAAGTGATGTTCATCGATGTTAACGGTGGTAACTAAATGCGTGGTCGATATATTTTGAACGTTATTCGCTGTCGTGTGCTGCTTCTATACACATGCTACGTCTCTTTGCTACAAGTACTGTATAGGGAATTGTTTCGTATTTCAGGACTGACGATGGTGGCGGCGGTGAGCGGCGCCAGCGGCCCGGCGGCGGGCGGCCCGGCGACGGGCGGCCCGGTGGCAGGCGGCCCGGTGGCGGGCGGCCCGGCGGCGGCCGCGCCCTGCGCCGCCTGCATGCAGCAGCAGCAACACACGCACTCGCGGAACTCTTCCAACACCTCCGGGGACATGAGCAGCAAGGTGTGTATACTCTACTCTACGACTGAAATATCTAACAGTGGAGATGTCAATTTATTATTTTTATAGTATAGTTTTTATGCTACCGCAACATTATTTTTTGAATAAATAATTTCCCAGGCGTCCGGTTACGGCAGCTCGTCAGCTGCGTCGGCGCACTCGCGGCAGAGCTCTGAGGGCGACTCGGCCGGCGACTCGGGCCGGCCGCATCACAACAGGTACATTGTGGCTTGTCGGCTCGGTGACGGCTCGCACGCGGGGCCTCGACGTCTAACCACGGTGCAAGTTCTACCTCTATTGTGATGCCGTGTTTACGAGTCTTGTCATTGTCTGTGTAAAGTATGTGGTGCGGGATACTCGGAGACTTACTCGTCGGAGACATACGCGCGCGGGCTCCGGCGCCGCACGGCACGCGCACTGCTCACCTCGCCCACTGTACAGTGTCCATTGTTACGCTTTATGTTCATTTCATTTACTTAACTTTGTGTTCCGCACGGTCACTAACTTTATTTATTTCTGTTGCCACTCTTATTTTATTGCTTTTTATTAATTTTAATTTTTTATGTTTTCGTTCTCCCCGCCGCCCCCGCACAGCGTCCCCCCCCCGAGCAAGCAGGGCCGCGCGCTCGTCCGCCTGGTCGTGCAGGCCAGCGACAGCTCGGAGCTGTACCTCACGCCCAACTGCACGCTGACCGGCCCGCCCGACGTCATCCCGCGCCACGCGCTCGCCTCGCCCGCCTCGCCCGCCTCCGACCAGTATTGCACGCCCGATGCCACGCTCGTCAATGGACATGAGAACTCGTTCGCGATGCCCACGTACTTCGACAAGAAGAAAAAAGTAGCCGCCACTATCATCAGCGCCGCCGTCGAGCCGCTCACCAATTTCCAGATCTTCAAGCAGAAGTCGCTCAACACGATCCCTGCGTTGCTGGAGAAGAACAAGAAGAACGAGGAGTTGTTCAACAATTTCCCTTTCCTGACGCCTCTAGCGCACAGAAAGAATTCTCTCGTATGCAACGCGAGCCGACTCTCCGGCTGCATAGAGGACGAGTTCTATTGCATTCCTTCCGACCCTGAGGTGGACGTAGGCTCCTCGGAGTGCATCGACATCCGGTACCGGTTCAAGAGCCTGTCGAACCAGGCTCTGAACGAGGGCAAGGTACTGACGTCGACGCCCAAGAGCGAGGCGGAGCAGCCCCGCAAGAAGGCGGCGCGGTGGCCCGAGGCGGGGCTCCGCCACAGCTACTCGGAGCACGTGAGGTGAGCTCGCCCGCTTGCTGTCCGCGTCCTCTCCCATAACCTCTGCTGTCTACTAAACGGTTGCGGGTGGTTCCGGCGGTGCTACTTCTTTTTAGTTTCCCTCTGTTCTGTCTTGTGACTGTGAATGTGTCTTCTGTGTGATGCGGTCTTCCTCTGTCATAACGTGTGTGTAGTCGAGACTGCGCGCGGGCTGAGCCTCGCTCTGTGCAGGCGGGCGGAGTGCGGCGTCTGCAGCGCGCTGCGGGACGCGGGCCCGGGGCCGGGGCCGGGCCCGGGCGCGGGGCCGGGGCCGGGCGCGGGGCCGGGGCCGGGCGCGGGGCCGGGGCCGGGCGCGCAGGGGGCGGGGTCGCTGCCGCGCCGGCCCAGCTCGGCACTGTACGTGCACTGTAGCGCCCTCTATGTGTAGATGTTGTGTCGTAACGTGTCGTGTGCCCAGCCTTCTGTGACGCTCTGTTACTTCACTTATCAGTGTTTAATAATTTGAGTTTATAATAAAATTATTGTTTATATTACTTTGGTAGTATTTTATTAGAGCTCCATTAGTGTACAACAGTTTGTATTGACTATACTGTAACAATTTACAGTATAACTGTGACATTGTGTGTGGTATACACTATACATTACTATTTATAGCGTACGACTGGTCGATGTCAATGATTGGGTCACACTTGTGATCTTGTTACAAACGCGCGCTGCATGTTTATTTTCCGTCTGTTTTCTGTCTCGACTATTTTATTCTAAGCTTAATGAACATGACGCTGTACATGCATGTTGTGGGTCGCAATAACATCGAATGCTGCATGGTTTTGTGTCGCATACTTATCAAATTGTAATACGCTTTGTAATATATATGAATGGCAATCTTATGACAATCGATCGCTGGCTCCGTGTGTGCCCGTGTAGTAACGAGTGCGCGTGCGCAGGAACCCGTCGTCGGGGTCGCTGACGGCGTCCGCGTCCGAGGGCGGCTCGCTGGAGCGCGCGCGCGCCGCGCTCGAGCGCCGCAAGCGCATGGCGCAGCCGCAGGACGACGACGCGCAGGTACCCACTCCATGCATTGCCCTCACTTGATAACCTAACCTGCGCCGGCGTGACATGTTCCGGTACAAGTGATTTATTATTATTATTTTGACATTAACTTTCCAGCACGTGGCATCAGGGCGCGTGGAGAACACCCGAGTGAACCCCGACTCCCTCATCGACGAGCTCCTCGCGAACACCAACCTCAAGCAGGCCGTGGAGGACTCCGCCGAGAGTAAGTAGTGGTCCAGCGCGAGTGGCCGTGCAGTGTGCAGTCTCATAGCGTGTGCAGAGTCTCATAGCGTGTGCAGAGTCTCATAGCGTGTGCAGAGTCTCATAGCGTGTGCAGAGTCTCATAGCGTGTGCAGAGTCTCATAGCGTGTGCAGAGTCTCATAGCGTGTGCAGAGTCTCATAGCGTGTGCAGAGTCTCATAGCGTGTGCAGAGTCTCATAGCGTGTGCAGAGTCTCATAGCGAGTGCAGAGTCTCATAGCGTGTGCAGAGTCTCATAGCGTGTGCAGAGTCTCATAGCGTGTGCAGAGTCTCATAGCGTGTGCAGAGTCTCATAGCGAGTGCAGAGTCTCATAGCGTGTGCAGAGTCTCATAGCGTGTGCAGAGTCTCATAGCGTGTGCAGAGTCTCATAGCGTGTGCAGAGTCTCATAGCGTGTGCAGAGTCTCATAGCGTGTGCAGAGTCTCATAGCGAGTGCAGAGTCTCATAGCGTGTGCAGAGTCTCATAGCGTGTGCAGAGTCTCATAGCGTGTGCAGAGTCTCATAGCGTGTGCAGAGTCTCATAGCGAGTGCAGAGTCTCATAGCGTGTGCAGAGTCTCATAGCGTGTGCAGAGTCTCATAGCGTGTGCAGAGTCTCATAGCGTGTGCAGAGTCTCATAGCGAGTGCAGAGTCTCATAGCGTGTGCAGAGTCTCATAGCGTGTGCAGAGTCTCATAGCGTGTGCAGAGTCTCATAGCGTGTGCAGAGTCTCATAGCGTGTGCAGAGTCTCATAGCGTGTGCAGAGTCTCATAGCGAGTGCAGAGTCTCATAGCGTGTGCAGAGTCTCATAGCGAGTGCTTGCAGCGTCGGGGCTGCAGCTGTTCATCTCCCGCGACGGCACGGCCGAGCTGGGCAGCCGCCAGCGCCAGCAGCTCGCGCGCCGCGACTACCAGCGGGTCGTCCTGCATCCGCACGACAACAGGTGCGTCCGGCCACGGGTTGCACTCTACCTTCTATTCATTACTGTTATGTTGATCATTATTACTTTAATTAATTTACTTGGATTTATTATAACAATGTACAGAGCCCACGACGTTAACACATACCACAGTATGACAGATAGACAACAGTATTATTGACAAGTGTCCTACCTTATATAATACATTGTAGTGAGGGGGGCCACTGTTAACTAAAATAGTGATGTTAATACATTCATGTAACAATTAGTTTACTACAATGGATAGTCTCATCATGGATAGCTAGTCTCATCTTCACCCTGTCAGCCGTCACTAACTCTGTATCATGAATACAGGTAGCCTACGGCGCGGAGACGGCGGCCACGGCCGGCGCGGCCCGGTCCGGCGCGGGCCGGCCCGGCGAGGCCCGGTCCGGTGCGGCCAGGCCCGGCCCGGCGCCTGCCGCGCCCCTCGGCCGTTGTTGTGGACAGTATTACATGAGATTCACACCGACCTGCTCCTACTGTGTATTAGCTTTTATATACGTCCCGCCGGGACCTCGAGCAATGCATATACATATATTTATTGTTTTTATGTAATATAAATTATGCCATAATTGTTTTACGACTCGTAATTTAATGTTAATTATTATTATTCGGTAGCAGTTCTACAGAGAATGGTTGTGTTCGTGCAGTCCGACATGTTTTGTATGATTTACATTATTTTTATTTCTTTTTAATGTAAGTAGGAATCTTTTGAATTTAATGACGACCTACTCGACGACTGATTGTTCCTATATTCTCGTAGCGCCTGTGCTTCCTCCACTGTCTCCTGTAGACCCGTAGTCTCTTCCAGCCACTGTCTCTAGCCGACACAGGGGCGAGTGTAACGTGAAGTGCTCACAAGTGGTGCTACGTCAGCGCGAGACTGCGATACGCGCGAACTTTTGTTATTAATATATCAATGTAATTATTATTATTGATTGTAAAATGTCACCCATTCAGTGAACCGTGTAATTGAACAGTACTTCCAATTCCCTCCGTGTATATTTTCATTGTGATTTTTGTATAAATTATTTAATGTGGTGCCAAACAAAACTGCGCCCGCTCTAGGGGAGGGAACTAACAGATTATTTGATAATAGTGCGAGGAAGTAAATCTAAGTCATTCCGTTGCGTAGCTTGTACGCGTGGCTTGCCGTGACCAAACTGTCGGCTCGCGGTCACTGCGAGGCCCTGGTAGTCCAGGAGTCGCGTCACTGGCGAAGTATTGATGTCGCCCCAGTGGCCGCCGCGGCGTGCGTTGTTATTGTATCATATTCTATGAAGCCTGTACAGTATTTGAATAAAGGACGTGTCTAGAGCTACTATTTGGTGTTTTTTTTCCTCTTACTCCAAATATATTATAACTCTATAAATGGATTAATATGAATAATAAATGATTTATAAATATTTAACTTTTATAATTCAGTACATAATTTGGTAGTTCTACCTGAAATGTTTTCCCGGGAGTTTTGAAAATCGGCAATTGTATAGATCTTGATGTGCTCTTTTGGATTTCTATTATGCACCTTTTTACGTACCGTAAAACGGGGTGAATAGATACAGGAATGGGGTGGACAAGTGTTAGAATATTTTCCCAACATTTATTCATCCCTCTTCTGTATCTATTCATCCCTCGAATTCTATTCACCCCGTTTTACTGTGCTGTTATTCTGGGTGACTCGGCAGTTAGAAAAAAAAAACCACGTTTGAGTCGCAAGATTATTATTTTTTTAAAAAATTAAAATTATACACACTTTAGCGTCCTAGACGACACTCACTATCGCGGGGTTGTCCTATGTCGACCCGGTCTAGATGAGGAATTTGGGCTGAAAACCAACAAGTTGGGCTAGATCCTCAGATCACGATTATATCAGTACCTGAGTCTCTACTAAATCTGCATTGAAATTGGGAAAATAATGTTCATTTATAGCAAATAATTGCTGATGTTGACTGCCTCGTTGGCCGAGTGGTCGCAAGTGCGACTGCCGGGCAAGGGGTCTCGGGTTCGATACCCGGGTCGGGCAAAGAATTACTGGGTTTTTAAAAATTCTCAGTAGTAGCACGGAGTCTGGAATTGTGCCCGGTATATGGCAATAGGCTCACCCCCTATTACATGGGACTCATAACATAAATAGTGAAAAGTGGGTGTTACATTGTACAGTGGCATAATGTGCACCTCTGCCTACCCCTTCGGGGATAAAAGGCGTGATGTTATGTTATGTTGTAATTGCTGATGTAGAATTTTGTGATTGACGTAAATCAATGCAGTTCTAACATAAAGGCAATCTGGTATGCAGGTCATTGATGTAATAAGCATTATTATTAGGGTTATAACAGGACGCCGCTCGCGCCTTCGCGATCTTGGAAAAATGGCGGATAAAAATATTTTTTTTACAATATCTTTTCTTGTGCATTTTACGATAAAACCTTCAACTACAAAATTAAAGTACTCGCAATTTTCTACTATTTATGCCTAGACAGCATTTTTGTAATAAATGTAAGTAACCGTAAAACGGGGTGAATAGAATTCGAGGGGTGAATAGATACAGGAATGGGGTGAATAAATATAGGAATGGGCTCCGGCTCGACGTGCAGGAGAAGGAACGGGGTGGTTTTTAGTCAGTAAGAGTCTGACACTCGAGACGTCGCAGACCAAAATTTCGCCCGGATTATTTACGACGCACTTCTGCAGATCAAGCATTTTCGTTCAAAAAAAAAGGCTAAGACATCGATTGACGCCCAAGACGAAATCTCCTATTTGCAGGTCTTCAGAAACAGGTAAGGGCCGTAGATTGTGGCAAGTTCCTAAAGTAAGTACCACAACCACACGAGCATTAGAACTATAAAAGATTACACTATTAAAAAAAAAATGTGGAAATTATTATTTTTTAAGTAAAAACGCGGGTTACTCACGTGAACGACGTCGCGCAGCTCACTGACCGTCGCCGCGACCGCGCACGCTGCTCATGAGGAAGAACCCTTCTGTGGTTCGAAACTGGTGGAACTTTTCTCAGTATATTCACGTGAGTAACCCGCGTTTTTACTTAATTTAGTATGTCTCAGGATAGTTATTATTATTTTTTCCCTAAATGCTCATAAAAATGTAGTTTGCGGTGATCTGGCGCCAGAACTACAACTTAGTGAGTGTTCATTTCAAAATGATGCCCGCGGTAACTACCTTTATCATATTAGTGGCGGAAAGTTTTTATTTTTAATTTTTTAGAAAGAAATCTTAGATATGTTTCATTTACGCCAAGCCTGGGTTTATACTACATGAGCTGTCCTTTAAAATAAGGAAATTTGAATTCATTTAGGTGTTGTTTTCCTAGAAAAGTATTTTATCTTTAAAAAGTATTTTAAAGATACTTATCTTGTATGTAGTATTTCAGATACCAATGTCAATAGTATTTTGTATCTGGTATCTGAAATACTTAATTATAAAGTATCTTACATTTTGTATTTCAGATACTTTGTATAGGATATTTTGTACATCACTGCTCATGATAAAGTAGCACAGTTAATTAGTAACACACATACTGCTTACTGCAGTTTGCAAGCGTAGTTTAGAATATACACTTCAGTTCGAGTTGTGCTGGTATCGGGTTCATGGGGACTCGAAATATAACGGTACAATAAAACAAGTATATAATTCAAGTATGTAGTATATTCGTTTAATTGAGTAAGGCCAAAAGGCTAGGGTGCTATACACTAGGGTGCGGCTGTGGACGGTAACGAGCAGCCTGCGCACGCGCATATTATATATACATACGACTGCCGTCAGTCAGCGCAGTGTGCCGAGGGAATGTATCAGTTCCTTTATATACAACAGAGTGAATACAACTTGACAGTGAACATCAGCGACTACAGTACCGAGACATCGTTTTCCTGATTAACTTGTTTACAGTAAAACGTATATTGGTATAATAGTAAACCTACGTGTTTCTTACTATTGCGGATAATTTACATATTCACTCTGAAGCTACAAATAACAAAAACTCGTTAGTGTACTTTGATTATTAAAAAATGTAGATAAAATGGTAAACACTTACTAATACTATACAAATACAATAAAATTCAATACTTTTAACGGACGGCCGAAATATATATAAATACTAATTTGGAACAGTCATCTATAATTAGGAGACAATTAACGTAAACATAAACTGATACAACATACAAACAAAAAGTTATCACATATACAATATTGAGTCACGTGAACGTGTAGACGGCACGCGTGCTACCGAGCCTTACTTACAGCTACGTTACACATGTACTTAGCCTAGCGATACACGAATACGGTTAGCCCTCGCTATACAGCGGCTACTGAGTACACCAGAGTGTAAAGAGTTCACAATATACAGACTTGTCGTTAAGGCACTGACGGCTCGCCGCAGCCCGCCGCACTCGGGCCGCGCCCGCTATACTCTACTACGTTACTGTACACTACGATATACTGGAATACATTAACCTATTATACATATACTTGGGTATTGCTGTCCGACAAAACAAGAGCTGCCATCCTCGAGGAGTTGCTCAAATAATAAGTAATGCGTGTCGATAGTCGACAGTCGACAGTCGATAGTGCTGATTGCTTGCCTGGGCGCAGCGTGCGGCGCGTCCGAGTGCGGGGCTCGTGTGGCGGACGAGGGACGTCTTCACTACATTGTAATTTAGAATCTTGCACGCTTCGATACCACTTAACATTACGCTTACACTAAAATACTGCTACACCGCGGGGTGTACCCTCGTTCTACTCTACAGACTACAGTCTCGGCTCAGACACCACGTAGCAGTAACAGGCTGTCAGTACAAGTGGCCCGTACTGAACACAATAACGCGGCCGTTACTTCACTACGTCGCGTCGCCTCGTCCAGTACAATACAATCTCTATACATACGACAAATACAATGTTTACCATAATTATATCTAAATTCATCAAAATTGGTTTCTTATAAAAATTCCAAATTCCTAAGTTGAGGCACTGCGTTATTCAGTAGATAATAATATAATATTTGACAAATCATATATTTCACTAAAAAGTCCGACATTGCACTATATACCATTATATCAAAATAATCCAGCTCTTACTCTATACTAATTATAATTATTTCCGTTTATTCGTAGATTTGTCATTTTTATAAAAAATGTACCTACACCTGACGTGGGAAGAGTATCTTCCACAGTCGCTGGAGACTAACGTCTAACTGCATCATATCTATAGCAAAACTTTATTCTTATATTAGAAACCCGTACAAAATGGAGCCAACAATAATTTTCATCTCCAGCGGCTGCACTTATAATTTCATTTATGATATAAAATACTAATATAATTCGTATAGTGTGGTAAAGTAAGTACATTCTCACGGGAGGTATCACCGTTTACCTTAAAGCTAAGTATTAAGTTATTCACGCACACGCTGTGTACAAACACGTACAGGTACAAACTGAAACACGTACACACACGCACAGATACACACACACACACACACGCACACATTCAGACACAAGTGATCATAAAACACATACAAGTATCATTTGGTTGATATGCGATGAGTTTCGTGTCTTCATAACTTTGTAAAATTTTGTTCGATTCCATTTTATTCCCCACCTGAAACATAGAAATTATTTAGTGATTTAAACATTTATCGAAATAAAATGACAAATAATGATAAAGTCGGACGCAACGCCACAAAAGGTGCAGTGAGCCGGGACCCGGTACCTGGCGGGTCGCTAGATGAGTCGTTCCTCGGGCGGCGGTTTGAGTGCGTGCTGCATCATCTCGGCGCGCGGGTTGCAGTACTCCTGGCCCGACGGCGAGTACGTGCCGCGCGTGGCCCGCTTGCGCCGCGCCTGCGCCCCCAGCGCCCCCAGCGCCGCGCCCACCAGCGCCAGCCCCAGCAGCGCGGCGCCCACGCCGATGAGCACGGTGGAGGAGGCCGGGCCCCCGCTGGCCGCGGCCGCCAGGGGCTGCGAGCAGTTGCGGCCCTCCCAGCCGTCCACGCAGTGGCACACGTAGTCAGTGCGCGCCCCGCAGCGCTGCTCGCACCGCCCGCCGTGCAGGCAGGGGCCCGTGCTGTTGCCTTCGCCCGCGCCATAGCACGGGTCCTTCAGCGAGCACTCGTTGCCGCAGAACCCGGCGGCGCACAGACACCTGCGACAAACACGGCCGTGAGTGGAGGCGGGGGCAGGCGAAGTGGCGAGCGGGTAGTGTACTTACGTGTAGGATCCGTTGAGGTTGAGGCAGTCGCCGGGCCCGCAGCTGACGAGGCCGGCGGCGCACTCGTCCACGTCCACCTCACAGCGCGCGCCCGTCCAACCTGACACACGCCAATGTACCGTTTACTATCAATTCAAAACAACATACATTCAAACAATAACGTTAACCATTTATTGATAAACATTATTTTGGCATGTTCCCCCGAATTTCCCCTTATTACAAATTCGGGGGAAGATGCTACTAAAATTAACATTTTCCCCATTTAACAGAAACCTGGGCTTATAATTTGTAATCATAACTTTGAAATGGGTAACCCGCATTGAGCAAGCGCGGTGATTAATGCTCAAACCTTTTTCATGTGAGAAGGGGCTTTGCTCAGCAGTGTACATTTATAGGCTGTTGGTGTTGGTGGAGGGAGATGGGAATGAACCACGACTTTTATAAATGACCACGGCAACGGTAAAACGGATATCACCTTTGTCTTTTTGTCCAATATCTTCGGCATTAGTCAATAGAAAGCTTATGAAATGTCGATGTGGTTTGTAATAAGTGCACAACATGCGTTATAGTTATGTTAGTAGGGAAGCATATTTCTTAGTCTAACTTGATAAAATTTCCAATATTCTATGAATTTGGGATTTGTAAAATAATATTATTATTATTGTGTATTTGATGATTAGAACTGGTAAAAAAACTACTGAAGTAAGATAATTAAAAAAAGAAAATTAGGTACTTGACCTAATTTTCGTTTCATTTTTATTTTTTCAGTTTTAGAGTGACCGCGGGCGTCATTTTGAAATTAACACTATAATTTAAATATTTTAATAACCGCTCATTTCCGCTATCTCTTTGTTCGCCATAAATGTTGGAATAGATCTGTTCTATAAATACGAGACTGTTGTTTAATTACAAATCACCCTGTATAATTGCCATTCGGTTACAGACTCCGAATGACTGAAAGCTGAGGGATTCTACACGTTGCGTCGCGCGGAGGACGGAGGGCTGGCACTCAGGTGATCAGTATCGTGTCATAGTCGCACCGCACTGATAACGTTATCGGGTAACATTGTATTCTTGTGATGAATTATATTATGACGCACCGCATCACTACAAGTAAACAGTTTTACCGCGGTAACGTAAAATGACAACCGATGACAAAAAGTGTTCGGGCGACGAAGTGGAAATATATCATTTATGTACTTGTTGGTCGACTGACAACACTCAATGCAGTGGCAATGAGAGGACCAGGAAACTAGTGCGACGGGGTCACTTCTTACAAACTTTTACACTTTGTAGTAAGCGAATGAACAAATTCTAGATTCACACACTGTGCTCACTAGTTTCTTCCCGCGGTTTAACTTATGTCCACTGGGGCACTGCCTACGTATGTAGTAGTAACTGAGCGCCTATCCTGACGTACCTATTTTCGCATAAATGCTGCGTACGTAATATATTGTTCCAGCAAGTTAGCGGCTACAAAAACAAATGTTAAATCAAGTAGAATGGTTGAATCAGAACACTAAAAGTAATAATAATGTTCAGTTACATTGACAGAAGTGAGGTCGCGTGACGCAGGAGGAAAATTATAAGTAAACGTGTTACATAAATCTGTGCTGTCCAGTGAGGACGGCGTGTTCTCACAAGGAAACCAAGTACCAAGTGGATGGATTACTGGATGTGTACTGCGGCACAACTCCTGCGTGGTGCGAGAGGACACGGTGACACACTCTGTTTATCTAGTCGGCGCCACTATCAGGGACACGAAACAATGCTATGATATCAGCAACTTCGTGCTGACATCAACAATTAACACAGTTAATGACAAGGTAACAATGGCATCTTATTAATATTGATGTGTTTCTATAGTAATTATTTTAGTTTGGGACAGCGATCCAACACATTCGTAGAATCGGTATTGCAGACAGACGTAAGCCGCGCAGGGTATGAGTACAAATATGGCAGGGATACGATACCTAGCAGCAGTACAAGCAGCAGCGCCCGCATGGTCCGCTCCGGGCGCGCTCCGGCCGCCCCGCCAGCCCACTGAGCGGCCTCGCCCGCGTACTGCCCGTACCGGAGGCCACTGATTCACAAAGTGTGACGACACCGCGCGTCCTACCTCGCTCGATACTGACCAATTAATACCACGACGGCACTATTCACATTGTACTCGCATTGTTTGCCGCGCGCGACTGACGACTGCTTACTGCCTCCTACACGCTCACATTGCGTGAGATGCGTCTGCCTCGACCCTCGACATATGTTATTACGATTTGTTTAAGATATGGCATAGATGGTTTATTTTGTTTATATGTTATATCCATTTTATTTGTAATTCTAAGAACAAAATAACGGATACCACAACAAGTAAAACAAAGACTTGTGTTCATAGGTATGTGGTATCACAAAATGTGGCGACTATGATTCATCAACGTTTCTAAGCAAAGTATCAATTAGGTATTTGTTCGTATCATTTGTATATACGTAAGTAACTGGAACACGCGTACACGGATCGTCTGGAGGCAAATAATGTTTATATAAAAGTTTGTGAGCCACTGTCTCTGAGTATGTTATCGTTATCAGTTATATCGCGAGCACTATCGAGGATCGCGAGCGGCCGATAACACGCGCTTGTGTGTGTACGTACACACGTATGTGTATGAGTGTGTGTGTGTATGTATGTGTGGGAACTATGACAGTGGGACAGCAGTGATAGCAATGGAGGTGCGCGTCCTATATACAATAACTTGCACTAACAAATATTTGTTTACATATTATACATCTTTAATCAGGGACTTCTAGTCTAGGTAATGGTCCACACATTTTATGTATTAAATATGGTCTCATAATTTATTATTATAGTGAATAGTTATTAGTTCAATGTATATTCATGGGAAATTGTAATATTGTTCAATTTTGTAAAATTTCTCTTCACGTTCATCACCGGGACAACTAGTAGTGTAATAGAAAACAACAATGTGTAGGCACGGGGCCGGGGTAACGGGGCCTCGTGACCGTATAGTCGCGGCGGGCACGTACCGGTGTCGCGGCAGTCGCAGCTGTAGTCCGCGGGCGCGTCCAGACACCGCCCGCCGTGCAGACAGGCCGCCGCGCCGCCCTCCGCGCACTCGTCGCGCTCCAGCTCGCAGCGCGCGCCGCCGTAGCCCGCCGCGCACGCGCACCACGCCGCCTGCACCACACTGCTGTAGCGCGGGCCAGGACGCGCGCCCGCGCCCCGCCCGCGCACCACCTACCTTGCTGTCGTTGAGGCAGGCGCCGTGCACGCAGGGCCTGACGTCGCAGAAGGCCAGCTCGCAGTAGACGCCCTCGAAGCCGTCGTTACACAGACACGTGAAGTTGTTCCCGGTGGGCGGGTCGGGCGCGCTGTCCACGCAGGCGCGCGCGCCGGCCGCGCAGGGCCCGTGCGCACAGGTCCGGTCGCGGGGCGCCGCGCACGTGGGCCCCCGCCAGGCCGGGCTGCAGGCGCACGAGTAGCCGCCCGCCGCGTCCGTGCACGTGCCGCCGTGCAGGCACGGCCCGGACGCGCACTCGTCGATGTCTCGCTCGCAACTACATGGTCAAGGGCGCAACCATTACACATTGTACGTCCGATCTGTCTCACGACCGGAAATTAAGTTCTAAATGAAAAAATTCTCAAACGCACTCACATCAAAAAAAGTCGAAAACAAAACACTCGTTTATGTCATACGATGAACGACTTATTTAATATTGTATATCAATACATAGTATAAAACAAAGTCGCTTTCGCTGTATGTCCGTATGTATGCTTAGATCTTTAAAACTACGCAACGGATTTTGACGCGGTTTTTTTTAATAAATAGAGTGATTCTTAAGGAAGGTTTGTATGTATAATAAATGCATATTGCACCCGTGCGAAGCCGGGGCGGGTCGCTAGTTTACTATATAAAACGAAAAATAAAAACTCTCATAGAGTTTACTTTACCATTTGATATTATAATAGAAACTTATTAGTTTTAAACCACATTGAATTTTGGAAACTCAGAAAGCAAGGCTATCAAAGAGTACCATCATTACAATGCACTTATATCATTAACATCAAAATGAAATTACAAAATCGGGACTAGCTAAACTATTAATTGGAAAGAAAAACAACAACAACAAATAAATAGACAAATTAACTTTCAAATAGATTAAAATTCTCTCAACACCAAATACGACGTTTCAATAAATTCCGAGTTCCCGCTATCTTGACTTTTTCGCGCTACGCGATGACGATTCGATTTTTTTCGCAATTTAGAGATGTCAAATTCAAAAGTATCAGTTTGGTAAAAACAAAGATGTGTGGATGGTCGAATGATAACAAAATGAAAATGAACATTAATTAAAATTGAACAGTCCGAGGCGAGCGCGATGCAGTAACTCACAATTCTCCCTCGAAGCCGTCGGGACAGATGCAGGTGTAGGAGGCCACGCCGTCCCTGCAGGTGGCGCCGTGCTGGCACTGGTGCGCGGCGCACTCGTCCACGTCGGTCTGGCAGTAGTCGCCGGCGTACCCGCGCGGGCAGGCGCAGGCGTACGACGAGCGCACGTCGGCGCAGCGGCCGCCGTGCTGGCAGTCGCGCTCCAGGCACAGCACGCAGCCCAGGCCCGCCGCCGCGCCCCACGCGCGCCCCGCCGCCAGCGCGTAGTGCGGCTGCGCCGCCAGCAGCGCCGCCGTGGCGCCCACGAACAGCTCGTGCTCCGTGAAGTACGGCAGGAGCAGCCCGCCCACGTGCACGGCGCCCATGCAGCCCTGCAAGCCCGCGGTTACTTGCCAACCTACTCTACGGTACTTGGCACGGTACGAACATTCAACATTTACTCAGTCCGTCAGTTCCATTAGGAAACAATGTCTAACACATATTTTTGTACTGTCTCGTATAAAGTTACAATACTTAGATAAAATGGCATTAAGGAATCGTGGTCGAAATCTCGTGTGACGTCTTGTGTATTCAGTTATCGGCCTCATCGTTCGCTTGATAAAATTGACATGTAAAGATGCTGCCTTGTAGCCTATTTGCAGAAATAAATTCACTTGTTTCACTTGTTAATTAAATTAGTATTTTTCAGTAAACAGTTTTCTATTGGCAGTCAAAGGCTTAAGCAGTATATGGAGTTTTTTTGTAGTATTCCCACATATCAAGTTACATTATCGAAATTTTCATTTTTCTCTTTTTTTGTCTTATTAAATACCCTATGTTCATCATGGATAATATAGTATTCCAACAATAAAAGAATTTTTCAAATCGGTCCGGTACTTTCGGAGCTTTTGAGATTGTTGAGTTGAGATTCATTTCAAATAAACAAACAAACAAAAAACAAAACTCTTTTTAGAGTATTAATATAAATGTAGATTTCACATAGAAAAATACCAAAAATAAATTTTAAAATTGGGAGCTCCTGATATGTTTCATAGGAGCGTATTTCCTGGTGTACGTGTGTATCATCCCAATGGATGTATAGGGCGCGCACCTTGAAGTACTCCCCGGCCAGGTTGTCGGGCAGCACGTCGTCGCCGTCGTCGTAGTCGGCGCCGGCGTCCGTGGTGGTGGGCGGCGCGGCGGGCGCGTGGCCGATGCCGCCCAGGTGCAGCGTGCCGGCCGTGACCAGGCGCTGCCAGGCGCGCGTGTCCAGCGCCGCGCTCAGCGCCGGCTCCTCGTGGCCGGCCGCGTCCAGCACGGCGCCGCGCAGCGTGTCGCCCGCGAAGTAGAAGCGCAGCGTGGTCCAGGCGGGCGCGGCGGGCGCGCGCATGCGGCGCAGCGCGGGCAGCCCGCCCAGGCTCCACTGCACGGCCACCTGCTGCCGGAACACGGCCACCGTGAACCAGCTGGCGCCGTCCTCCGCGTGCAGCAGCGTGCCGCCCGCCTTGCTGCGGTACGTGATGCTGAGCGAGTCGGGCGGCCGCGCCAGGCGCCCGCGCGGCTGCCGCAGCTGGTACGTCAGCGTGGTGTTCACTCCGTCGAAGGTGGCGTTGGACACGCACTCGTACCTGTGCACGTACTGCATTAGGCCCTTTGCACGTAACAAGGACGCGCTGGCCACGACCGAGCTGGCCCGCTACTCACCCGGCGTCCAGGTTGCGGCAGTGCGAGTTCAGTGGACAGCCCTGTAGTTGGCAGAACTCCACCTCGGAGCACTGCTTACCCTTGTAGCCGCGCGGACACTGGCATCTGTTACATACACTCGCTGTGTTACATAATATCCACACCACCGACCAATTAATTAAGTAACAACTACTTCACAAGTCATAATATTATGTTTTATTATATCCCATTGATTGTGAACAACGAACATAAAAGATATACATTAGTTTTCAAGCGAAGCAACACAAACAACGGTGATGTGGTACGCACGTGTAGTCGTTCCAGGTGTTGGTGCAGGTGGCGTTGTGATGGCAGGGCTGGGCGGCGCACAGGTCGTCCGACACCACGCCGCGCAGCACGCCAGGGTCCAGCTGCACCTCGCCGAAGGGCGGCGGCAGCTGCAGCCCCGGCACCTGCAGCGGGAAGAACTCCACGATGCTGACGTTCACTCCGTTAGAGATCTGCACGTCCTGGATCACGCCCTTGAAGTACGCGCTGTCGTCCAGCTCCGGCGGCGCCGGCGCCGGGCTCGTGGCCGGCGCCTCCGTGCCGGCCGCCGTGCTGGCGCCCGCCGCGCTGGCGCCCGCCGCGCTGGCGCCGGCCGCGCTGGCCGCTAGGGGCGGCGGGGGCCCGCCCAAGTACAGCACCTGCACGAATTCATTCATTATACTTACGTATCTCACACTGCTTAAAACTCTTGTTTTAACTACACTAATGGTCCCAAAAGAGTTTCTATGGCTAGTTTATAATTGTTTGTTCTCATTTCAGAACAAAGAAACATACAATTTTATACTTTTTGCATACAATCAAAATGTACGGGGACAACTATAAATGATACGATGACATCTTGATAATATAATTTTAATGATAGTTACATGATACAAATGAGTAACCGCGGCGAGAATCGAACGCGAACTGAAGTAAAGTGCGCTCGCGGTACAAAAGTGCTTATTCTACAATATTACAGGAATTGTACGGGTACACAAAGAGTATATAATAAGTATAGGGGATATTGACAGCGTGACAAAGTCAATGTATGTATTGCCTAAATATATTACATTTATTATGTTTATTTTATTGCGTAATGATTATTGTATAGAGCTAACCTGTGCATCGATCTGCTTGGCGGCGGAGATGGACTTGCGGAAGTATTCGGTGCCGTTGAGCTTCACCTGCACCAGTGTGGAGTTCCGAACAACCTGCACACGTGAACGATGTCTAAAGTACGTGTTTCACTTAATGTACCTACATAATTATCATTAAGTGTAAGCAAACACGTTATACATAATATAAGTTTGGAAGAGCCATGCTTCGGCACGAATGGGCCGGCTCGACCGGAGTAATACCACGGCCTCACAGAGAACCGACGTGAAGCAACGCTTGCGTGGTGTTTCGTCGTGTGAGTGAGGTTACCGGAGGCTCAATTTTTCACTTTTCCCTTCCCCAATCTCCCCAATCCCTGAATCCCCAACGATCCTCAAACTCTTCATCCCCACAAAGTCGGTGACGCATTTGTAACGTGCCTCTGGTGTTCCAGGTGTTGGTGCTCGTTTACCGGCTTATGCCACAAAAAAAAATACAGAGTGCAATCGAAATCTATTACGTACGTACGTATGTATGTAAGAGTACGTACAGCGTTGGTTTACGTTGTAGGTATTAGTTTTTTATTAAATAGGTTCGTAAACGAGCAGATGTATCTCTTGGTGACAAGATGTCGCCGACTGCAGTCAGGCAAGGAAGAGGGGGCCGGCGGTACCTCGATGAGGTGCAGGTATCCGTTGTCGAGGCGCGTGCCGCCGACGGTGTAGTTCTCGGGCGTCTGGTTGAAGCGCAGGTGCACCAGCAGCTCGCCGCCGTCCAGCGAGGCGCCCACCTGCGTCTCGTCGGCGTGGCCCAGGCGCGCCAGCGAGCCCAGGTAGAAGATGTGGCCCGTGGGCTTGCGCGTGCGGATGAACATGGAGATGTCGAGCGCGGCGCGCACGGCCCGGCGCGCGGGCTCGGCCGCCAGCACGCGCACCACGGCGCGGCGCGCGGCCGCCTCGTGCCCGAACGTGGCCGCCGTGTAGGCGTGCTGGCAGCGCTCGCCCAGCTGCGGCCGCGCGCAGGCGCAGCGGAACGACGACCACGCGTCCTCGCAGGCGCCGCCGGCGCGGCACGGGTTGGGCCGGCACTGCTCCACGCGCGCGCACGTGGCCAGCACGCCGTGCAGCTGCGCGCGCGCCGCGCCCTCCTCGCCCGCCCACGACCCCGCCTCGGCGCCCGGCGCCTCCGCGTCCTCGGGCAGCAGCCACTGCCCGTTGACGACGACGTCCTGGAAGCAGCCCACGAAGAAGTTGGGCCCGTGCGTCAGCGTGGCGTACGACGACCCGTACGTGCCCAGCCGCGTCGACGGGAACGACGTCACCGACGAGTTGAACGCTTCGTTCTGGTTGATGGGGTAGATGGTCTGCTCCTCGTTGGCCGCCAGCACCAGGTGCGTCGTGTTGATGGTCACGAACACCTGGACACGAATAATAAGCTCGTTCTCTATCACACAGGACTCGCCCTGTGACTGTGACATTCAAAGTACGAACAGACGTTGACTTGTACCTTTTGCCACTGGCTGTCATTGAGGTTGGAGCCGATGAAGACTCCCTCCCACTTGTTGAGCAGGCTGGAGTGCAGGTTGAGCCTGCCGTTGGACAGTTCCAGGAAGAAGTACGTGAGGCCGCGGCCCATGGCCAGCAGTCCGTTGGCCAGCGTGGTCTTGAACCGGAAAGAGATGTCGTAGCCCTCCTCGCGCGTCGTGTTCACCTCCGCGTAGCTGCTCTTCTCCAGCGACATGGTCGTGATCTGCGCCGTGAACAGGTCGCGTGTCACCAGTGTACAAGTATGAGTACATAACATAGACATTACGGAGGTACCGCATACCTTCTCGCAGGTGGTGCCGTAGTGGCCGTGTTTGCAGCTGCAGTTGAAGCGATGCTCGGTCTCGTCGTGCAGCCAGGGATGGCAGGTGCCGTTGTTGCGGCAGGGCTGGTCGCGGCACCCCTCCAGCACCACGGAGCAGTTCTGTCCGCCCCAGCCCTTCGAGCACAGGCAATAGTACGAAGCGCGCCCGTCGAAGCATTTACCTTGAACGCACGGCGTGTACCTGATCCGATTAAACAATGATTATTTAGAGTTCGGGCGTCAACGTGAACGAGTAAAGACTAATCACAATAAATAGGTGTCCTGACCTCTGGCACTCGTCGATCTCGAGCTCGCAGTGTTCCCCCTCGTACCCGGCGAAGCAGTCGCAGGTGTAGCCGCCGATGCCGTCGATGCACTTGCCGTTCTCGCAGGGCGACGACGCGCACTCGTCGATGTTGACCTCGCAGCGGGAACCCGTCGTGCCCAGCACGCACACGCACTCGAACCTGCGCACGCGACACGTCACACACACACACATACACTCGAACCTGCGCACGCGACACGTCACACACACACACATACACTCGAACCTGCGCACGCGACACGTCACACACACACACATACACTCGAACCTGCGCACGCGACACGTCACACACACACACATACACTCGAACCTGCGCACGCGACACGTCACACACACACATACACTCGAACCTGCGCACGCGACACGTCACACACACACATACACTCGAACCTGCGCACGCGACACGTCACACACACACATACATTCGAACCTGCGCACGCGACACGTCACACACACACACATACACTCGAACCTGCGCACGCGACACGTCACACACACACACATACACTCGAACCTGCGCACGCGACACGTCACACACACACACATACACTCGAACCTGCGCACGGGACACGTCATACACACATACACTCGAACCTGCGCACGCGACACGTCACACACACACACATACACTCGAACCTGCGCACGGGACACGTCATACACACATACACTCGAACCTGCGCACGGGACACGTCACACACACACACATACACTCGAACCTGCGCACGGGACACGTCACACACACACATACACTCGAACCTGCGCACGGGACACGTCACACACACACACATACACTCGAACCTGCGCACGGACACGTCACACACACACATACACTCGAACCTGCGCACGCGACACGTCACACACACACATACACTCGAACCTGCGCACGCGACACGTCACACACACATACACTCGAACCTGCGCACGGGACACGTCACACACACATACACTCGAACCTGCGCACGGGACACGTCACACACACACACACTCGAACCTGCGCACGGGACACGTCACACACACATACACTCGAACCTGCGCACGCGACACGTCACACACACACACATACACTCGAGCCATCGCTCGGGGTCACACTCACCCGTGGGCGGCGTCCAGCGAGAAGGGCTGGTAGAAGACGGGCGGCAGCAACATCTGCGGCTGGGGGCCCACCTGCAGGCGCGGGGCCCCCGGCGCCGCGTACAGGGACGCGTTGGAGCGCTGCAGGCACACGCCGCCGTACTTGCACGGCTCGCTCTCGCACTCGTCGATGTCCACCTCGCAGTTCTTGCCTGCACAGACGCGACTCAGAGGTCAGTACTCAGTAGGCAGCGGGCGCAGCGCGGCGCGGGGCGAGCACTGACCGGTGTAAGCGGGGTGGCAGTTGCAGTGGTAGTCGTTGACGTCGTCGAGACAGGTGCCCCCGTTGCGACAGGGCTGCGGCGCGCACTCGTCGATGTTGACGGCGCAGTCGTCCCCGGCGTACCCGGTGCCGCCGCACTCGCACGTGTAGCTGTTGAGCCCGTCCACGCAGCTGCCGCCGTGCTGGCACGGGCCCGACTGCGACACGAGACATACTTGTCGTGGCCGCATACATTTCTTCGCTTCATTGAATGCTTGTGGTACTATATGAAATGGTTGCACTGCTAGATTTGATAGATTACGTTTTCAAACATTTCATAAAATGCAACCATGCCATAAAATATTCAAGCATTGCATGAAGTGAGGAAATCGATTTGGCGGATGATCACGAACCACGACATATTTTCACGCACTCCCCGTGACAATTATTTTTGGTAGACTTTAAGGAATAAAACTTCTTTATAAATGTACAAATACTTAGTTAGTCATATTGTTTAACAGGAATCGTCGTGACTATAAAGCCATCCGCTAACTACTCATGCGTACAGTCAACGAGGTTGAGCAAGTAATGCAGTAGTTAGTACGAATAGAGCTCACCTCGCAGTCGTCGATGTCTATCTCACAGTTGGGCCCGGTGAGTCCGTCCTGGCACAGACACGAGTAGCTCGCCACGCCGTCCACGCACGTGGAGCCCGCGGCGCACGGGTTCTTCTCACACTCGTTAATGTTGATGGAGCAATCCTTGCCTGCAAAGTTTGTTTACGATGCTATACCATAGAGAACGAATTATAGAATACATACACATCCATGATAATTCGTCTAGCCACCTTCGAAGCCTTCCATGCAAGTACACTCGTAATTATTCTCGAGGTTCTGGCAGGAGCCGCCATTCTTGCACGGCGACGACAGGCACTCGTCGATGTCTTGCTCGCAGCTGTCGCCCGTATAGCCTGCACGGCAACACATACATTTACATAATTATGAATTGGCTCGCATTGAGGACAGATTTACATATTGGTGATATCCTGCAACTCACCGGGTCTGCAATAGCACTCGTACGATCCGGGCACGTTAACGCATACTCCGTGGTTACATATTTTCGGCATTATTGCACATTCGTCTATATCCAATTCACAAAAACGCCCTGAAAAAGAAGCGATTATTAAATTTCTTATGAACCTAATTACTTTAATGTCTTCTTACCTTTAATGAACAAAAGCATGAGCAATGATTTAAACAACATCTTTCATATAAAAATAACTATACATAGGCACAAATATAGAAAGTTACATTAGTCACAAATTTAAATATTTTTCACTCAGTTTATGTAAAATAAAGTGCATTGATCAACAGCAGTAGTGCATCTGAATAACTAATCGTTCTCACTCATAAGTAAATCTCAGTTAAAGCTCCTATACTGTACACATTACATGTGAAATAAGTATTCTTAAGCCTTTACATTATACGTAAAACTAAATCAAATGGTAGATGTTTATTTTTTATATTTATTATTTTAATAAATGCATAACAAAAAAATACACTTTCAGCAATCCGAATGAACGAAACGTTTAATGAAACCGTTCTTATCAATGGCAACATTATATTACGTATGACTTTGACAGCAAACATGACATTTGTGCTGTCATTGTCATTTGTCACTGTCACTTGTCAGTCATGTCATGATAGGTTATGTGAAATTGTGATAAACGCTGTTATTGTTGTTCCTATTCTTTCGTGCTTTCGTGTGTTAAAATGAAAACTTGTTTTGTTGAATTAAGACACCAAAATTCTTTAAACAATGTATATTTATAAGTAGTAATTCATTCGGCAGTTTATGAAGCCATACGATGCTCTATTCGATGCGATATGTTTTGAGGTTATGTCGGAGGCAAGCAGTTTTACAAAACAAACGAATAACACAAGCTCGAGCTATAACAAGCGTTGAAACAGAACAAAAATCAGACAAAAATGATGATACGAAACACTATCCCGAGTTGTTACAGAAATACAAAGACAAAATAATTTTTAACTCGTACTTAGAAAACGATAAGCTGAAATTAGGCTACTTTAAGTATCACAAGAAAGTCCTTAAACAAGCAAAAGCCACGTTAAAGAAAGAATTTCAGGAGAAAAGTTTACCCCCACTCCCAGTGGCATTACAGTACTATGTAGACAAAGACAAATTACTTTCAGTTGAAAACACAACCAACCAAGTCTTAGAACCTGACAAAGAGCTGCAGCTTCCCTTTGGGTCGTCTACGAAAATAGAATATGATGAAAAGTCAGAGATTCCATCACAATCAGCTTCTAATGCTAAGGAAGTAACATCATCTCTACCACAGCCTGAACAAGTATTTGATAGATCAGACATAAATAAATGGATGACAAACTATGAGTACTTTGATGACAGCAAAATGTTATCTGAAGACTTGGAAGATGGATCTGAAGATCAAAGTGACTGGTCCAAGTACTATGGTACTCCTGATCCTACAGTCCGAGTGAGTAAAGTGGCATGTGGGGGCTGCGGTGCTCTGCTTCACTGTAGCGACCCTGCCATCCCAGGATACTTGCCGAGTGAGATCTACAAGGGCAGAGCAGTAGAGGAACTCAAGACTATGGAGTGCCAAAGATGTCATTTCCTCAAGGAGTACAACATTGCACTGGATGTCAGTGTTGAGCCAGAAGAGTATGAGAAATTATTGGAATCCATCAGGTAAACAAAACATTGGGTTAGACATTTTTTAATGTACCTGAACTATAATCTGGCACTGATATTTTATAATTGTAACTGACTGAATTTTGTTAATGTATACAAATTCATTTCAGAAATGTAAAATCCCTAGTTCTACTAATGGTTGATTTACTTGACTTTCCCTGCTCAATATGGCCGGGCATTGTGGACATCATAGGGACAGACAGACCCATAATACTTGTTGCTAATAAGGTAAGGTTAAAATATTACATAAGTGAGGTTTCCAGTAAAGTTGGTGTAGTTGTTTGTCAATTCTTAGACTCCCTTTTATGTGTTACAGGTGGACTTGCTGCCTGGTGACAGTATTGGATATTTGAAACGTGTTAAAGAATCCCTTATGACACAGATAAAAAACTCGAAGCTAAATGACGCAAACATAAAGCATGTTGCTCTGATATCAGCTAAAACAGGTTATGGAGTAGAAGAGCTCATCTCAGCCATGTTCAAACTGTGGCTGTGCAAGGGCGACGTGTTCCTTGTGGGCTGCACCAATGTAGGCAAGAGCTCTTTGTTCAATGCCTTGCTGCAGTCTGACTACTGCAAAGTGCATGCTGTGGACATCATCAAACGTGCCACTGTCAGTCGCTGGCCAGGCACAACACTAAATCTTCTCAAATTCCCTATCAACAGACCTTCAGGTTGGAAAATATACCAAAGAACACGAAGATTGCAATCTGAAGCTAAACTCTACAAAATTGAAAAAGAAATTAGAAATGCTCAGTTGCAAGGTAAAACACCTGAGGAGGCTCCCGCCTTGATTGGACATATAGGGCGGTCATTCTCTGAACTCTATGACATTGACAATATTGATTTAGAAAAACAAAGAATGACAGTTTTCAATGAAAGGAATAAAATATTTGCAAAGAGCAAATGGTTGTATGACACCCCTGGAGTGATCCACCCTGATCAAGTGCTGTCTCTCCTTAGCACTGAGGAATTGCTTGTAACCATTCCTAAACAATTGATCAAACCACAGACCTACTACATATATGAAGGTTACACGTTATTTATTGGCGGTCTGGCTCGGGTAGACCTCGTCGACAGTGCGGAGCCTTGTCGCTTTACTATATTTTGTTCCGAGAGCTTGCCAATAACTGTTACAAAGACTGAGGATGCTGACGACATGTACGACAAGTTTGTGGGCACGGAGCTGTTCGCAGCGCCCAGCGGGGGACGCGCGAGACTCAGCAGGTGGCCGGGCCTGCAGCATGCTGCGGACTTACTGGAGTTTACTGGGGAAGGACCCAAGTTGCTCTGTGGGGATATTGTGTTGTCTTCGGTGGCTTGGGTTGGAGTCACAACTAAGAAGGGAACGAGTTGTAAGGTGCGCGCGTGGACACCGGAGAGAAGAGGAATCTATAGACGGCAACCTTCGGTTTTGCCATACTCTATTAATTTGAAGGGCAAGAGGTTGCGCGACACGCCAGCGTATTTAGTCGGAAAAGTGTTCTCTGATGAAGAATAGATCAGAACCATTATGTACTTTTAACATTGTATGTTAATTACTTGTGTAATAAAGATTAATAAATTAAGTTTACAATATGTTTTATTGGATATGGTATGTTTTGTAATGGTAACAGGAAGTGAAATTCATTTAGTGACCTTTCACTGAGACCTGCGCCAATTGTTATTTATAACTGATTTTATTAGCTGTAAACTGTAAAGCTCCGTTCGCACTGCGTCTGCTTTTCTTGCTTCTGTCCCAAAACCGAAGCGAGAGAGAGCTACTAAAAACTCGCTACTCGATTAATAAAATACTAGCGCAGTGCGAACAAGGATTTAGTCTCTCCATGCTATAAATTAATTTCGACTCAAAAATAAAATATTTACAACGCTGTCAACGTTTGACGTCACAACACACTACCTAGTGCAAAATTAATTTTGGAGAGTACTGGCTGTCGAGGATATACAAGTAGCAGAGGTAGAGGAGACCTACCGTTGTTGCCGGGCGGGCACTGGCAGCGGAACAGGCCGGAGTCCAGCGCCAGGCAGGTGCCGTTGTGGCACGGCGACGACGCGCACGCGGAGTCCGGCGCCGCGGGCGCGCAGCGCCACGCCGGCGTCGCCTCCACGCACTCGTGGTGCGGCGCGCACGGCGCGGCGCGGCAGTCGGCCGGCACGTCGCAGGCGGCGCCGGCCCAGCCCGCGCGGCACTCGCACGCGCCCGTGTCGCGACACACGCCGCCGTTGTCGCAGCCGCGCGCGGCGCAGCCGTCGTCGGCGGCGCCGGCCGCGGCCTCCGTGTCGCAGCGCGGCCCGGCCCAGCCCGCCTCACACTCGCACCGGAACCCGCTCGCCTGATGGACTCACTGTCTACTACACTCTGCCTCACACGGTAACAAGCTCGTGTGGCGGTTTAAATGTGTGCTCGAATTAAACATTCTTGATTCGAAAGACTGACGTGATACTTATGTAATTGGATATACCTAATGTTCCAGATCATAGGGACCATACAATATCTTTGTAACTAAACAGCATAAATGACATACAATGATACATAATCAGAACAACAGAATGAACAAACATACAATTAGGACGATCAAAGCGAATTAATGAGGTCATGAAAGTCATGCGCACGTCGACAGACAAGCGAACATTGCAGCTGGGAGTACTCACGAGGTCCTGGCAGGACTTGGAGTGCAGACAGGGCTGCGCGGCGCAGTGCTCGGCCGCCTTGAGGTCGGACAGCGCCTTGCCGGCGCCCGCGGCCTGCTCGCAGTACGCGCCTGCGCAGCGCACACATGCATACAGTAAGCACACGACACGATGGGATGCGGTACAGCGCTGCATTCAGTACGTACCCTTGTAGCCGGCCGCGCACGAGCAGTTGAGGTGGTCGCCGGCGACGGAGCACGTGGCGCCGTTGAGACAGACGCCGGCCTCGCAGGCCGCCTCCAGCGCCGTGCAGTTGGGCGCCATGCCCGCCGCGCCTGGATTTGTTTGCGCTTTCATTATATTTTCTACGATATATTGTTATTTTTATCCGTTTTTATAAACTGTAAGTCCTCCAAGAATGAAGCATAAATAAATGAATAATGGTGTGTTTGCGACACGTACCGTAGTATCCGACGTCGCAGACACAGACGACCTGCTTGGCGACGACGCCCGCTACCATCACGTTGGGCACACCTGCGGGACAAGCATCAGACGGCTACATGAGTGCGTCCGGGGGGGGGGGGGGCGGAGGGCGCGCGGAGCAGTACTGACAGTGCGAGTGCGGCGGGCAGACGAGGTCCCCGCAGGCGGCGGGCGCGGCGTCGGGCGCGGGCGCGGGCGCGCAGTAGGGCGGCACGTACCCGCGCGCGCACACGCAGCGGAAGCCGGCGCCGCCCGCCTCCTCCACGCAGGCGCCGCCCGCGCCGCACGGGCCCGAGGCGCAGGCGGCGGGCTGCTGGCAGCGCGCGCCCTGGTAGCCGGGCAGGCAGGCGCACACGAAGGCGCCGTACGTGTCGTAGCACACGCCGTGCCCGCACACGCGCGCGTCGGCGCACTCGTTCACGTTGACGGCGCAGCGCGCGCCCGTGTAGCCTGCGCACGACCTCCGTGTCAACGCTTCACTAATACACAATTACCCAAGACAGCGCGTGCAGCGAGCGCGTACCGGTCCCGGTGCAGTCGCAGGTGTAGTTGTTGACGGCGTCCTGGCAGCGCCCCCCGTTGAGGCACGGGTCCACAGTGGTGGCGCACTCGTCCACGTCCGTCTCGCAGTTACGTCCCGTGTAGCCTGCAGACATCGCATCAACAACATCATATACCTAATCATTACATCGCCACAATCTGTTACTCTACACTTGCCCGAACACAAGTATAATATGATCGACTTAAATTTAACGGATGTACAATTTGACGCCAACCGCGAAGAGTCAGGCGAAAAACTTTAGTACGTGGTTTTGAAAACACCAAGAAGTAAGACCGATGAATGTTGCACCACCGATAGCAATCGAAACAAATAAAAAATGTAGTTTAAGAGAGAAGGAGCAAGGACCGGGCGGGCAGGCGCAGACGTAGGTGTCGGCGCCGGGCGGCACGCTGCAGCTGGCGTTGTGTTGGCAGGGCCGCGCCACGCACTGCGGGTCCAGCGACTCCTCCAGCTCGCACAGCGCGCCGTGGTAGCCGGCGGCGCAGGCGCACGAGTACGAGCCGCGCGGCTCCTCCACGCAGCGCGCGCCGTGCTGGCAGGGCGCCGACGCGCACGGGTCGCCCGCGTCCACCTCGCAGTTGTTGCCCGTGTAGCGCGCCGTGCAGTGGCACTCGTACCTGCCCGCGACCATCCCGTAAGTATAAATGTGTCAATGTACACGACCGTGTCCATTACCTACTACAAAAATGTAAAGCTACTAATTAATCAAACAGAATCTTCCAATATTAACTCGAATAATATCATTCATTCGTTTCATGCAACGAAGAGAGAGTTGATTGCTTTCCTATCCCAAATTATATGCTCAGATTTCAGTAAGAGTTTGTTAATATGGGACGCCTCCAGTCTCTATACGTATATCCCCGTGGCCAGAGCCGTATTATCCTTAAGGTAAACTAGGCGAGTGTCGAGGGCGCCAGGTGACAACCAACTGCCCATACAGTAGCAACAGTACCAAAAGCAATTAGGGGCGCCTAAAAGGTGCCTGCCTAGGGCGCTGTCTAGGTATATTCCGCCCCTGCCCTTGGCATGCTGGGTACTGACCGGTCGTGTCGCGAGATGCAGGTGCCGTGCCTCATGCAGGGCTCGTTGTAGCAGTGGTCCTTCGGCTGGATGCGGAGCACGTCTTTCCTGTCAATACCTGGGAACCGTCCACATCAGCTCACAACACATTACATTTTATTTATCACTACATAGTATAAAACAAAGTCGATATCCGCCGTCTGTCTGTCCCTATGTATGCTTAGATGTTTAAAACTACACAACGGCATTTGATGCGGTTTTTTTAAATAGGTAGAGTGATTCTTAAGGAAGGTTTATATGTATAATACATGCTTATTGCATCCGTACGAAGCCAGGGCGGGTCGCTAGTTTATTTATAGATTACACTAGCAAACCCGGCGAACTCCGTTTCGCCACCAGATGGCTTCGTTTTATGTAACATTTCGTTTGGTGATTAGTGAATTTTCTTTGCTATAAACCTCACGGAGCCCGAGACCTTTCCAACGAATGCAAACCCGTGGAAATCGGATCGTGCGGTCTGAAGTTATAGCGTCAGGAAAGGAAACCCGACTTATTTTTATATAGTAGATTCACTAATCTACACCATGAGGAAGGAAATGGTGAATCATGTAATCACCAACTATTTACTCTGAGATATCATAAAACTTATAATCTAATTCACGATTTCCTGTTTTATTGTTATTTTATATCTGTGTATAGGAAAACATTTAAATAAACGCTTGATTATTATGATCGCCATTTCCGGAGCTAAAATATACATTCAGTCAAAAAGTATCGTGAATGGGTGATATGTTTATGGTTCCAAATATTTTTTTTTTGTTTTTTGAATAACAGACATTTTGTGTATTATTGATCTTTTCCCGGTACTTTCTTGACAGAGTAGTAGTTTAAATTATTATATTATAGTTTTATAATGAGATTACAGTTTAATCGGTAATTATTTAACTGCATTAGAGTTGATTGTGAAGTCGCAGTATCTGCGGTGGTGGCTGACGTACTCACATTCGTCAGTGGTCAAAGGGCAGTGTCCGAAGACGACGTTCCTGGTCTGCGAGGAGGCGGCGTGGAATTCGAGCTGCGGGCCCTCGAGGATGCAGCCGCTGAACACGTTGCCCACCAGCAGCACGGCGCCGCCCGCCTCCAGCGCGCCCGGCGACAGCAGCTCGGGGTTCCACGTCACGTTCGATATTATCTGCCGACAAGGCTCCCAGGTACTATTGTTTCTTTAAATTCAACAATAATGTAATTAATAAACTTTAACATTTACTTTAATACAATATTGCAATAAAATATTATGTGAATTCCACAGCATAGAGCAGCAATGTGTGCCAAAGTGGGCGGCATCGAGGTGTAGTGACGCAGACGTACTTCTAGTACATTGTTTTGTACAGTGACCAATAAAATCAAGCCAACTACCCATGTACACTGACAAATAAATAACTAGTATTCAAGTATTAAGCAGTCGTATATGCGCTGACAACACAAACAAGTCATTAAGTAAGCAGCCAGCAAGCAATAAGTGATCAGCTGTATCAATACTCGTGGCTGAAAAGATTTATTGATACAAGTGCATCGCGCGTGGATAATGAAAGTGATACAGGCGCAGTGTGTGAGACACCCGCGCGGTGCACTCCGTACGTACGGACCTGTGTGTCTTTGTCCACCTCCAGCAGCAGCGAGGGCGGGTCGGAGTTGTACCGCAGGCCGACCCAGTGCCACCGGTTGTCCAGCGTCTCCTTCGCCAGCCCCACCTCGCGGTGCGGCTGCGAGGGCCGCGCCCACGACACCACCACCTGCTCGAACAG